CGCCCAAGGAAAATCCTTTTTGTGAACTTCCTCTTGTGCACTCACCAACCACAAAAAAACCACCTTGGAAAGTGTCTGGGCAAACCCAGTTTCCACAATCAACACTTTAGCAAGACTACAAAACACCAAGCCATTGGCACAAAAGAAAGATTATGACCTATTCAAAGACGTTCATAGAGAATTAACCGTGGAAGATCAAACTGATGATGACGAATGCTATAGCACGGTTCGTGAGGCAGTACAGGGCCATATGCCAAGATTAAGTGCACAACAAATACTTCTTGACAAGACCCTCAAATCTGCTTACTTGGACGCCGACTCAGATGACGCGGCAATTTCGAGAGCTGCGGACACCCTAAACAAACATGAAATTTTGCAGAAAATGAACAACTTCGAGCAAAGTTATCATCTTACACAAATGAGTGGCTTACCGAATGTTATTAAAGATAAATATTATGAATTGCTTGCTGGGAGTCAAGACACCATTAGCACCTATAAAGTGGTTCAGCCAAACAATGTCAAATTCGAACACCTTGCAGAAGCTTTTGAGCAATATAGACAGGATCAGATTTTATATCTCGCCAACGAAATTTCACGCATGGAAAAGGATAAAGACGAGGACGTTGGTTTATTAGCCAAAAGACAAGAAGAGGTAAAAAAAGCTGAAAAAACATTAGAAGAGACGGAAAAAGACAAAGACAACTACGATCAATTGATAAAGGATTTAAAGACTCGTAAAGAGGAAGTCAAGTCTACCCAACGCCAGATTAAAGGGCTTGATACTGCAATTATTGAAACGCAAGACAGTATCGAGCTATTGGAACTTGCCTTTCCAGGAGGACAAGGGAAAAATCGCATTATCATTGGTAATGGAGAATTATCGGACCTGAATCAATACAGAAATGATCCACTGGCAAGATTAGCAGATTTTTTTGATAGAATTCCTATCCCGCTCTCAACCACGAATCTGATTGATGAGGCCGACGAAGCACTTAAACTTGAATTAGAACCCAAAATTCTGGACAACATTATGGCAATTAAATTTGACATCACCGCCCCGAATATGTTTAGAGCAAAGGATCATTTATTAAATCATCTCCCAATTCCGGTAAGAGAGGAAAAAAATATCATATTTTTACATGCCCCCACACGACCAAGCGTTACGAACGTATATTTTAGGTGTAACGTGGTCTCCTATTATGCTATCCTCCAGTTACCAGATTCCTGGGTCCCTCTTAGACGCACGATCGCTACCGCTGGAGTAGGTGGAGAAGTTAAGGTTTTATCACATTTAAAATTCTGCCCTTTTTGTCATAAAAGTGATCATACGAGGTTTGAATGCACAAAAGGACCTTGCAACCACTGTAAGATGGAAAACCATTCAGCAAAAGCTTGTAAATTCCGCATTCAACAAAAACTAAATGTAGCTGCGGCAAAAAAACAAAGTTTGCAAAAGAAATTGAGTCAAAAGGCCAATGAATTAAATGCAACTAATATAATAAACCCTCCAACAGAATCATTACAGGCCAAACCATTGCCCGATTATTTAAAGGCACATATGGATAGCGACCAATTCCTTGATGGAAAGGCAACATCTAGACAAGGTAGAAAACAATTACAAAATGAATTCGCCCAATCTAATCAGGCAAAAAAGGACACTGCTAAAAACATTAATAAATCAGGCGTGAAACCACACAAATCAACAGTAAATGTTCCTAGCGCACAATTACCTAAATCATCAGTAGCAACACGCACAAGATCAAAATCCCAATCTCAAAAAGATGTTCCAGTTACGGAAAAGAAGACCATCTTACGTAGGCCAGGATCCCCAATTACACCATCAAATCAAAAACCAACTGAAATGATTATAACATCCACTACTCAAAAGGCGGATAGGATGTTATCTGCTCATGCTCCCAAGGCCGACACAAGTGAATCTGAGAAAGAAGAACTCGAGGCTCTAGCACAAATTTCAAAGACACATTTGAAATCACAGGACAGCAGTGAGCGATCAACCACCCAATCCAATACTATTAATTTATGATCTCAATAATTGATTTAAGAAGTGATAAAAGGTTTGATCAACGAATCATTCATGAACAAAATACAATAATAATAAAATCCAAAAATATTCAAAAAACAAAAAAATTTCATAACATTAAAAAATTCTTACAGGATACGGATATAATCATGCTACAAGAAACTAATTTAAGAGGTAGTAGAGAACGACGCCTATTCGTGTCCGAATTCACAGAAACTAAACAACACAAATACTCAATAGCCTTTAATGGACCCGAGGCACAGTCGGCTCTCATTATAAAAGCGGAAAAAGCAAAAGACAAATTCAAAATTAAAAAGAAAAATTATTTTTCTTTCTACCTATCAAGGAGAACCCAACCTTATGTGGCGGATCAACTAATTGAAACCACAGCAACTCAAGAATTATACATGATCATTAGTGTATATATCCCAACTATCAGTAATTCCGCACGGAGGGAATTACATGGAGATATCTTACATGATTTGACGGTCAACATAAAAGCAATTAAAAAAAAGATACAAAGAAAATACTCAAGAAAGTTACATATCATTTTGGGTGGAGATTTCAACTCTTCAACGGATGATTTGACAGGAAATACAGCAGACGGAACCTTTCAACCAAATGATATTACACAAAATTTATTGAGGCTTATAAAGGAAAACAATTTAGAAGACACATTTAGATCTATCATCCCAACTATGCAAGTCGCTACGAATTTATCCAACGGCAATAATCGAAGGTTGGACAGAATATATTTATCCCACGATACAATGGATCAATTACATAGTTTCCAACTTATTCCGCGGGTACGTTATATACGCTCCTCTCACTTAGGGGTGGGTTTAAAAATTATCATTCAAACACACAACGTAAAGATCAAAGTAGGTAAAGGCAGGTTTTTCTATAAGGAAGTACCAAAAGCGACTTTCCAAAATCAACAACCAAACAATTTCCTGTCATTACTCCGAAATATGAAAGTCACATCCCAATTATATTCTAGAGCAAAATCGATCATGCAGAAAATGACAGAAATTGGTCATCACGAAATTGAAGAAGATGTGTGGGACAAAGGTCGTTATATTTTCCATGGAACTGAACACTCACACGTTACCACAAAAATGAAAAATGAAACAGAAACTCAAGTGGGATCCACTACAAAAGAAATCCTTAAAATTGCCACCGATTTTTATGCAAGACTATTTGACACCCCCATGGAAATACCGGAAGACGATAGAATTGATGAATATTTAGAAGATTTTGATAGGCAAATAACAACAGAGGTCCAGCGGGATTTAGATAAACCATTTGAATTAAAAGAGTTGCAAGTGGCATTAGAACAATCAATCAATAAAACTGTACCTGGAGAAGACGGGTTTCCATATTCTTTTTACCTTTCTCATTGGGATATGGTCGCCGACAGTCTATTGAAGGAAGCCAATCAATTAAGAATAACAGGAGTATTATCCCCGATGTTTAATAAAGTATTAATATCGCTCATCCCAAAAAAAGAGTCATCCACACGAATAGATCAACAAAGACCTATATCGTTGACCAACACTAGCCTCAAGCTAATTTCAACCATGATCAACTTGAGATTACTTCCGGTTTTGGACCCAATAATAGGAATTGAACAAAGAGGTTTCATGCCGAACAGAACCATGGATGAAGCAATTAAACAACTTAAAACGTTGGCAAATATACTACAAGAAAACCCAATATATTACGAAGATGCAGGTATTATAGTTATTGATTTCCAGAAAGCTTTCGATTCGTTTAACCATAAGTACCTTAGGCGGGTGTTAGAGAAAATAAATATAGGTACAAATATGAGAAAGTGTATAACTGCTATTCTAACTCAACAGTCAGCTTCAATCTACTTAAATAAAACAATCGGCTGCCCCTTTCCACTCAAAAGAGGCACACGACAAGGGAACCCTTTATCACCACTTATTTTCAATCTTATGTTGGAGCCGTTACTTAACAAGATAAATCAAAAATGTCAAGGTATCACAATTCCAAGTTGCTACATCCCAGACATAAGGGCAAAGTATCAAGCTTATGCTGATGACTTGGTCATATTTGCAACTGGAGAAGATTATAAAATCGTGAAGGAAGAATTAGACGAATATTGTCAAGTCTCATCTAGTGCGGTCAATACACAGAAATCCGAAATATTTTTCGCCCATTTCAGACAATTGGAAACATGGAATGGAACACTACCATACCCAGCTCATCTTCTATCTGATTTTAAGACATACTTAGGGATCAAAATTTTTGACATGGATTATAAAGAAAAAATCAAAGACATAATGAAGCCATTAAATTCGAGAGCGGTGACAGATATGCCGATGCATGAGAGAGCGCTAATAATTAATTCCTTCGTCTACTCAAAAATATATTTCCATGATATACACCACCCGTTCCAGATGAATGAAATAGTGGAACTCGATAAGGTGATTAAAGACAAGCTACCTCAAATGAATCTGCTTCGACTACATGCCCATCCGGAAAAGGGAGGCATAAATTTGACGGACTTGACCTACCAATTGAAAGGGAAAAGAGCAAAGCAAATACTCTTGTTGTTCGACGAGTCGGAAAATTGGTATTCGGTATACTTGAGGGATAAGATCCAACAATTTTTATTCTGGTACGCCGAACCAAACAATATCCTATGGATGCAATTCCTTAGTGGGGCGAAATTGAAATCTAATCAGCGAGATGAAGGAGGCCGGCGACAGAGTATCAAATCGGTAATGATGCAAGCTGAATTTTTCTACCCCAATGAAAAGAGCTACTTACACGCGTGGTTCGCGTTGACTAAATCCAAACAAAACTATACAAATATGGGTATTATTGCATACAGAAATCCAAGCAATTGTCAAACTTGTTT